CAAGGATTCAATTGGATAAAGTAAAGCACAACAAGTGGAATGGCTCCATGAAAAGCCTGCAGACCTATCTAAGCAAGCTGTTTGCCACTCCTGGTTTGGAATTGTCCACTCAATCTTGCTTAGATGTGGTCAAGGGCGCGGTTCCAACTAACTTCACTAGTCGCCTGGGCAGGGACTACATTGCTTATACTGACTGGCTTGCCTTAATGAAGGATGTAGTCAGTCTGGAGGCCATGGACCTCGTTAGCACGGCAGACAGCAAAAAACCCATGGGCGGCAGGCGGTTCAAGGGCAGCAACCGTTTTGTTGTGCATGACCTGCTGGCGGCCGAAGGAGAAGCCGATGCGGTTGACCCCACTCTTGGTGACGACCAAGAACAGGACTCCGATACAGGTTGTTCTTCAGTCCATGAGTCCGATGCAAATAACGAAGAATAAAATTTTTCTGCCTTTAAAGAGACTGCCAACACTAAGGGACCGAATCGGAGTGCCGAAAAGAGTTATGTCCAACTCCCCAAAGGAGTTAAGATCCCGCCTAAACCGGAGGATGCATCTACCAAACCATGGGTTGACCTCCGGATCACTGAGAATGACGGGCGGGGCAGACTCAAGAAAGGGGTTTGCCTGCATTGCCAAAAGCCAAATCACAAGGTCCAAGACTGTTATAGGTTGCAGGGAAACCAGAACCGGGCGTAGAGTCAGATTCAACAAACTCTACAATAGGGAAGTTAGGATCTGATGAAAATCAGCAGCCCTCCCTTGAAGCCCAACCATCTGCTGAAGACAAGGCTGCGGTAAGTAACGTATTGTATGACTAGCCTTGGGAGGAGTCTGAGATGATTGACTTCCACTACCACTTGGAGCATTGGGCTGAAATCAAACAGCAACGGGCCCAAGGGACGGTGAAGTTAATCTTCTTTAAACTTCTCATCAACCACCGCTATCTCCGTGTGTTAGTTGATTGTGGTGCTACAACTAATTTCATGTCACCACATGGGATACGCAAGGTGGGCTTGGGGATGAAGCAAGTGGCCCTGCATAACCCTTGCCGGACCCAAGTTGGCAACAAAGAAGTTGTCTCTTCTACACATGCAGTCAAAGGTGTGCGCACTACCTTTGACAAAGGTAAGACTGTCACCCATGCACTGAACTTTTTTGTCCTTGACAAGTGCCCCTTCGACGCTGTCCTTGGCTTGGGCTGGCCGCAGTCCCAATGAGAATGGACCAAGTGGAAGGAATCACTCTTCATGGTCAAAGATGCTCAAAGGAACGAGCTTCCTGTCCTCTTGGATGAGAAGCACGAATCCCCAATGACTTTTCTAAATGCATTGAAATTCTGCAAGAAGTGGCGCAAGCACAAGAAGGAAGAACAAATGTATGTTGCCTTTGTTCGTCCTGCTCATGTGCCTTCTACTTTTGCGGCTAGTACCACAACTACCTTGAGTAATGAACCTACTTCTAGCACTTCTACTACTAGCACCTCTACCTCTCTACCCTCCAATAGTCCAAATTATTCTACTTCAGATTTGGTCATCTCTATACGCGACTTGCGACCGGACTTTGGTGATCCCTTTGCTGATTCCCCACCCCCACCTGTCCCATCAAACATCCAAGCCCTCCTCGATCGGTTTCCGGAAGTCTTGGCCGAGCCACGTGGAGTCCCCACGCGACCGGTTCGACACACCATCGAGTTGGTCGAGGGTGCTGTTCCTCCAAAGGGCTGCGTGTACCGTATGGGACCCGGCGAGTTGGAGGAACTCCGGCGGCAGATCGATGAGATGATTGACAAAGGGTGGATCAAACCAAGTGAATCTGAATTTGGTGCTCCTGTGTTGTTTGTGCCGAAGAAAGGAGGCAAACTCCGCATGTGTACTGACTATCGCGGTCTAAACCGCATCACAAGAAAGAATGCTTACCCATTGCCTCGTATAGATGACTTGCTTGATGCTGCA